AATGCAGTTCCTCTTGTTGTGGTGAACCCAGATCATAAAATTACTTTCATTGCTACTTCATAACTGTAATTTTGATACTGTTAGGAATTGTAATGCAAATATCTGTGGTTTCCTTTCTTAGGTGACCCCTGGGAAAGAGTCATTCAACCCTCCCAAAGAGGTCCAGACCCACAGGTTGAGAACCTTCTAGCTAATACAGTATAGTAGCTGAGATGACTGGGACTCGAATCCTAAACCAGTACTGAGAACCATATCCCCTGCCACTCACCCTAGTGCTCCAGAAAGAGTGGGTGGCTGGCTTGTATCTCTCTTCCCATTATGCATTTGCACGATGCTCTGTGGCTTAAAAGAAGTTGCCTTTAAAACTTCCTTCAGTTGCCTTCGCTCTGTGATGCTTGCTCATGAACATGCAAAGCAGGATGCTAGCAGTCATTAGATGCAACAAGTAGCTTGCTGCTGAAAGTATGAAAACTGGGATCTCCTGCTACTGTGTCCACAGCTTTGGTGCTTTTTAAGCATATGGATGAGGAGCCACTAAATGACCGCGATAGTGTGTGCATTGCTTATTTTTATCTGCATACAAAAGATTGTAGCTGCTGCACACAATGTACATAAGACATTTAACTAAAACAACAAACAAACAAACAAAAACCAGTGCCTCCCCTATGGGAAGTGCTCTATTGCTATTAGCCTTCACCACCACCACCACCGACACTGTCACCCCTGACACCCCACTACCTACCCCTAATGCAGGTATTACCTGCAGTACCATGACTGTTACCTACAAGAGGCAGGCAGGGATGTGAAGGGGCTGAGGGCTTGCTGAGCATGGACTGAAGCCAGTCTGTGGGTCAAAATTCCTCTGTAGTTAACCATTTTCTCTCCTAGGAAAATTCTAGTTGCTAAATTTTAGATTTGCAGCACACTTAACCTATCATCCAAGCTATTTATGAAGAGGGGCTCTAATACCAAGAGTATTTAGGAGGTTAAGTGGCTGTCATCCAAAACATTTGGGACTAGAAGTACTTCATATTTTGGATGCCTTTTTTAATAAAAAAAAAAACTTAGTCCAGCATTGGTGGTGCACATCTCTAATCCCAGCACCTGGGAGGCAAAGGCAGGCGGATCTCTGTGAGTTCAAAGCCAGATCGAGTTCCGGAACAGGCTCCAAAGCAATACAGAGAAATCCTGTCTTGAAAAACCAAAACAAACAAACAAAGCCCTAAATGAGGAGGGGGTACTGGAGAGATGGTCAACAGTTAAGAGCACTAGCTGTTCTTCCAGAGGACCTGGGTTCAATTCCTAGCACCCACATGGCAGCTCACAACTGTCTGTGACTCCAGCTTTAGGAGACCTAATACCCTCACACAGACATGCATGCATGCAGACCAATGCATATAAAATAAAAATAAGAAATCATTTCAAAACAAAACAAAACACCCTAAATATTCCAAAAATCCAAAAACATTTCACACATAGCAGTTGATATGTAAGGAAGACTCAGGTTTACAGTAAAATGTGGACCTTTGTTTTGGGAAATACATGCTGCCTATCACTTTACATCAGTTGTTTACTTTTATAATATAATAACACATTTAACCATAGGTGTCAGGGCTGTGCTCAGTCCCATTCAACCAAAACCAAATTCCAACTTATCTGTCGGTCTGCTGGTTCTCTCTGACAATGAGCCCTCTTGTTCCCCACTGCTCAGCTAAGATCGTGTTCTTGATGCATGATCTCTCACTCGGCGACTGGTCAGTCCTCTCTAAGTCAGGCTTGCTCCTGGATGTGGCTTTCACATGAATTCCATGTGTACAAAATGTAATCCATATGAGCTTCACCTGAAAAGAGCCCATCTTTTCTATTAGCTCTGTAACACATACATACATAATACATATACACACATACACACACACACATACACACACACTCACACACACTTAATTTGCTTCCCATGGCTTCCTTTGGTTTCTATGACGGCTCCACTGTTTAAAATCCTGGAATTTCCAAGGTCATGACCTAGCCAGTATAGGGGAAGGGTGATGACTGACACTTATTACATTACTCTGCATTCATAGCTATTGACCTTGGCTTATGACTATTGGGTAAGATGTGCTTTCAACTGACTAAATCTGCTCTTTCCTAGGACATAGGCCTTTTGCCCATATTATAACAGAGGTATGTGGCCTAGATTTTATGGATTTTCTTGATTTCTGGTGCTGCATCTTATCGTCATTCAATATACTGGAGATTAACTAAGAATATATGTGATCAGATCTCATGTATGATTGTGGTAGTTGACATCCGTTGCTGAAACCCATTCCTTGTTATACTGGAGCAATACCCTATTTTTTCCTCAGTCATATCACCTGTGTCCAGTTCTGTAGCTAGTACTGTTGCCCCTTGTGGTAACAGCTGGACCAGGCCAGAAGATGGTTCAGCAGGTAAAAGCACTTCCTTCAAAAGCCTGCCAACCTGAGTTCCACCCTGGAGCCCACATGAGAGGAAAAGGAGAGAACCAGAGCCATTTCCACAGCCAAAGTTGTCTTCTGACAGGCAGGCCCTCGGGGGAAGTACGTCCAGCTCACATGCACACTCATATACACATGTCCACACATGCTCGTACAATAGTAATGAAGCAAAAGCAAATAGAAACCAGTTGGACATATGGCCTTCTTCTGGCCAGTATTTCATTCATGTCCAAGAATGATTGGTTCAGGACTAAATACATAATACAGCGATGCAATCAAGAGTGACTTGACTGTAGGGACTGAGGGTGTGATACTCTGGGTAGACACAAACAAGAATGCATGAGTCCCTGCATACTCTAGTCAAGCATTCTATGCCTGAGTTGTGTCTCTTTCCTCTTCCTCCTCCTTCTCCTCCTTCTACTTCTTCTTCTATTTGTTCTTGTTCTTATTCTCGTTCTCATTCTCATTCTCATTCTCCTTCTCCTTCTCCTCCTCCTCCTCCTCCTCCTTCTTTTACTTTTTGAGATAGGGTCTCACTAAATTGACCAGGCTGGCCTTGAACTTACTGAATGCAGCCCAAGGAAGCATTGCACTTCCAATCCTCCTGCCTCAGCCTCTGGAGTAACTACAATTACAGGCCTGCACTAGTAGTCTCAGCTCTTCCCAGTATCTCTCTCTGCCTGAGATGACAGAAGAAGGCATCGTCTCTTCCCGCCTGACAAGGGACAATGAGGCTGAGAGTCTGGAGCTTCCATGAGGAAAAATCAAGTCTGTAATGCAAAGTCAACAAAGGAGAGAAAACCAACACTCGTGCCATGACCTTAGGCCTAGTTGACATCATTCTGGGGAATTATTCGAGTTCAAAGCTGCCACACTACCACACCACTACTGTCATCATCATGCTCATCTTAGTCACTGTTCTATTGCTGTGCAAAGACACTGTCCCAACTAGTTTGATGTCAACTTGACACAAGCTAGTGTCATCAGAGAGGAGGAGCCTCACCTGAGAAAATGCCTCCGTAAGACAGGGCTGCAGGAAACCCTGTGGGGCATTTTCTTAACTTGATATGGGAGGACTCAGGCCTTGTAGGTGGGGCCACCCCTGGGCTGGTGATCCCGGGTTCTGTAAGAAAGCTGGCTGAGCAAGCCATGGGGAAGAAGGCAGTACGCAGCAATGATATGGACATATGAGCCAAATAAACCCTTTCCTGTCCAAGTTGCTTTGGTAAGGTGTTTCATCACAGTGACAGTAACCCTGACTAAGACAGACATCACAATCAAGGCAGCTCTTATGGAAGAAAGGATTCAGCTGAGGGCTTGCTTACAGGTTCAGAGGTTTAGTCTATGATCATCATGGCATGGAGCAAGGCAAACCACAGGCAGTTGCCGAAGCAGTAGCTGAGAACTACATCCTTATCCATAGGAAGAGAGAGGGAGAGACACTGGGTGTGGCCTGGGCTTTTGAAACCTTAAAGCTCACTCCCCAGTGACACACCTTCTCCAACAAGGCCACACCTCCTAATCCTTCTAATGCTATCAAAGAGTTCTACTCTTTGGTGCCTAAGTATTCAAATATATGAGCCTATGGGGCCACCACAATGCTTAAGCCATTTTTGCTTTGTTTTGAGATAGGGTTTCTCTTTGTAGCCCTGGCTGTCCTGGAACTCTGTATACCAGGCTAAACTTGAACTCAGATCTCCACCTTTGCCTCCAAAATGCTGGAATTAAAGGCATGTACCACCACTGCCTGGCTGCTTAAGCCATTTTTGAATAACATTTCATTACACATGACCTAGAGAGTTCTGAAGGATACAAGATGGTTTTGTGAGATTGGTTTTGCTTTCTTTGTGGAAAGTTCTAACTGGGTTAGGGAAGAGAAAGAGCCTAGAAACCCTTGTAATAGACCACTGAACACAGACATGGTCAGGGAAGACTGGCCAGCTAGAGCTTAGAACTGAATCTTGAAGTATCAGTAGAATGTATTGATTCAAATCCACAATATTATTTTATTCATTTTTAACCAAGAAAGTTTTACATTTGTTTATTATATGTATATGAATATATATTATATTATATATTATATATATATGAATATGTTGCCTACATGAATGTCCATACACTGTATGCATGTCTGGTGCCCTCAGAGGTACAGACAATTGTTAGTCACTGGGAATTGAATCAAGGTCCTCTGGAAGAGCAATAAGTCCTTTAACCACTTAGCCAACTCTCTGATCTCCATTACTCATTTTAAAGGTTTATAGTTGAAATGTGAGGAATTGATTTTTTTTCCTTGAGCCTCAGTGTTCTCTTCTGTAAAGTGGGTATATTATATTCAGAATAATTATTTCAAGGAATTATTATAAGCGATGACACTCTAGAATTCAGACCAAACTAGTATATCATTCACAAGTAGAAGATATCACTACTAATAATGCTTTGAATTTCTTCTTTTTGGAATATGTGATAATGGATTTTATTGCCTTGAGGCAGAAATAGAGTCAGAATCACATAAACCAGAAGCACAAACTCTAGAAAGAAGCCATTGGATTTATTAAACATTCATTGTGCTATCTCAGATTAAGTCACCGACTCTTTCAAGCTAATAGACAAAGGGACACTTAAATACTGTTTATTTGCTGAATGTGTTGGCTAGTTTTTTGAGGGGGTTGTTTGTCTTGTTTTGTCAACTTGAGTCATCTGGGAAAATGGAATTTCAATTGAGAAAATGCCTTCTTCAGATTGACCTGTAGCAAGTCTGTGAGGCAATGTCTTGTTTGATGATGGATGTGGGAGGGCCCAGCTCACTGTGTGCAGGGCCATCTGTGGACAGCTATACAAAAAAGCAAGCCGTGCCTTCCGGTCTCCATGAGTCCCTGACTCGCCTTCTCTCGGGTAAGCAGTAAGTGGAATACAGCCTCTGTTCTCCAAGTCACTTTGAGCTCATGGTGTTTATCACAGCATGGGAAGCACACTCAGACACTAAGTGTCAATGAAGAGTTGAGTATTTGTATTCTCCTTGCTCCGTTTAAGGCTGGAATGCATTGCCAATGGAAGTCCTCCTAATGGATGTGTCCAGGCTAAACTTTTACCACTGGACCTGTGGGGGAAAAAGAAAAACAATACCCAACCCAACACTAATCAAAAAAACCCAATTCTGTACCCAGAAGAACATGAAACTCCCTGTGGTCTATCTTGTTTCTGTCACAATTCCAGGAGGTAGAAACATCATTTTGCAGATGGGATAACTGAGACTTAGAAGAAAGGAATTGTGGAAGGATTGCCAGCTGCTAAGCCGTGGAAGCAGAGTTATAGCCCAGGCCCTGTGGGTTCAGACATCCTCCTTCATACTCTTATGGAAACTGCCCATGACCTTCCCCCAGCCCATGTACACCAACCAGGCTAGCAGGGTTTACCTCTGTGTTCCAGCTCCTGTATGTTCTGTATCAGGCCTCAACTCAACAGACTGAGGTCTCAGGAGTACATGGGCCATCCACGAGGCTCACTCTGGGTTTTCCCAGTGGCAATGGGGACAGACTGAATTGTTTTGAGGACCTAGGATGTCTTTTCTGAGAAGAATTGTTATATTCTATGATGAGGAAAGTCCTTCTGTATAGTGTGAATATATGTTTCTCTTATTGGTTGATGTATAAAGCTGTTTTGGCCAATGGACAGGCAGGATTTAATTAGGCAGGAAATCCAAACAGGGATAGAGAAAGGTAGTAGGTGAAGTCAGGGAGACACCATGTAACTTCCCAGGAAGAAGAGACCTGGTCATCTCCAGTAAGCCAAGATGATGTGGAAATACACATAGTAATAGAAATGGGTTAATAATTAAGAGAGAGCTAGCCAATAAGAAGCCTGAGCCATCTGGCCAAAAAGTTTATAATTAATATAAGCCTCTGTGTTTATTTCAGAGTGAACACCTGTGGGACCTGGCAGGACAGAAATTTCTGCTACAGTTCTGTCTTCCTGTTTCTTCTTACACTTGAAGATGTGTAGAAGGGAAACCATCCTTTCCTAATGAATCACTTGCAATTGATTTCATTCCACATAGTTGTACAGCAATGATCCACATGCAAATGAAAGGTAATTACTTATTTGATTTTACTTTTATTGACAATGCTCTAAAGGGTGGTGGTGGTGGAGATGACTTGAAACAAATGATATTTATTCTATGTGAAATTCTGATTAATAACACAGAATACTTTCCACTGTGCCATAACATCTGTAAGTTTCCCAGGCCACATTGATGATTATAATGTGCAATTTATGCTGTTTGTCAACTATTATCATTGCCTTGACTTGTCTCCTGGCAACTCTGCAAATGTAGGTGACTTAGTGACAACAGAAGTCAATGAAAGCTGTGGGCAGAAACTGAAACAGCATCGAGCAATTGGATAGGAGTGCTTCTCATGAAAGCACTCATGGTTGTTGGAAGTCAAGGTCATCACTTTGTATGACACCAAAGGCTTTGTTTGCATTGTGGTCAAAAGGTCCAGATAGACTATATTTAGTGACTCCCGTGGTTTGGATGAGCGTGTCACAAAGTTCCATATGTTAAATATTTATTATCCAGAATGGCATCATGGTGGTGCTATGAGTCTATAGGAGGAAGGACCTAGAGTGCTCTTAGGTCATTGGAAGCATCCCCAGAATTATTATGACACCTGTACTGTGCCCCGCTTCCTTTCTAGCTTGAGACATGAACACTTGTACCTTTTTAACCATGTCTATCCGCCATGGAATAGGACCCTCATCAAAGGTTTAAACAGATTGTCCTAGTCTTGGACTTTAACAGAAAAGCCAAAATAAGCCTCAAGCTCACAAGTAGCTTATCAACTGTTTTGTTATCGCTATGTGAGGGATGAGTTGGAACGAGATTGAGGGTGCTCACCTTGATTTCTGTGTGCTCATTTACTGTGTTGGTGTAGCCCACAGCATTCCAGACAATCTGCTCCTGCAGAGATCGCTCCAGTCTTGCCACAGCTTCAGAACAGGTCTGATCAAATCCCCATTCTTCTGGCTTGATTCAGAGATGAGAAATGACAAGGCACTAAGATGCTATCCTCTCCGCTGAAGCTTTTAAGATAGACCATGACTTAGTAATTAGCAGGTCTGGAGCTAGGAAACACCTGTTACTGACGGCAGGGACACAGAGAGTCGGGGTGCTGTGTTCCACAGTAAGTGAATGCTGAGAGAGAGGGGCAGCACCCACAGCAAAAGGCCTAAGGAGGAGGAGTCTGTGGCATTGTACCAGCCTTCCCCCATGTGAATCCTGTGGGAGGACTCCAGGATTCTAGGTGTCATGGGTGTGGAGTGTAAGGTCTCCCAGAGCTTCTGCCATCGTGCTGTTCAGGACCTCCATGCTGCATGTTCCCTCCTTCAGCCCTGCAGATATTTTTATACCAAAAAGACTTGGCTTGCCTCCTTCTCAGTCCTCCTCCCTGTAAGACCTCTTGGTCTTCGGTTGCTTCCACCCCTGTCTTTTCCTCCACGCTGCCTAGACTACTTTCTGTCTCTGGCAGTGCTCAGATGAAATTCACGTTTTCACTTAGCAAATGTTCTTGAACTCTTTGAAGACATGGTCTAGATGAAATCTAGTGCACAGGGCGAGCTCTATGACAGGCCTGTAATTCCAGCATTTAGGAGGGTGTTGTATCTGAAGCCAGCCAGGTAAGACAAAGCAAAGACAGAAAATGTCAGCCGATTGCTTGATGGCAGACTCCAAAGGCAGCTGAATGGTTAAACTAGTGATCTAGACACTGGTGGCACATCAGAGGACAGAGACAAATACCGGAGAGCAGAACGCCTTCAGCCTGGAGACAGGAACCCCCTGCTGTGGAAATGAATATTAGCTGCATTGCTTCCTGGAGTCAGTCTGGCAACACAGCAGAAGCAGCTGTTCTCAGTTGTGTCTGCTGTCTTTGCAGCAGGAAGAACAGGTATTGGCCCCACCTTTTGTCAGCTTATGGGTTATTAGGGGAAAGAGGGCAAGAGTGGTTGGCATGGAAGCTACCTGTGTTTTCCACCATAGTGGAGTCAAGCTTGAAAATCACTTGCTGACCTGGTGTGGTGGCTCACACCTTTAATTCCAATACTGAGAAAGGAGGATTGTAATGAGTTCAAGGCCACCTTGAGCTACAGAGTGAGATCCTTTTTGAGTGGGTAATTAAATAGTAGATGAGTAAATACACAAATCCACACTGAATGAGCTGTTACTGTGGCTCTTTACTCCCTCTTGTGGTGGCATGTTGCCATTGTCATCTACAGCTCAAACTTGTTTGGGTAAACCACCTTAGCTCTTCACCACCAGAGAGTTTAAGCTAAAAATGATGCTTTCAGGGAGTTCAGGAACTTAGCTGTGAGAAGTTGTATAGACACACACAGCTTCACTATGCCCTTCAATATCTTGTTTTACAAACTTCCTTTTTGGTTGGGGATGTGTGTGCCTAGCACACACAAGGTCCTCCGTTCTATCCCCAGCACTACAAGAAAGCAACACAAACACTTCCTCCACAAAACTCTGGACCAACATGGGGGGTTTAGGTATTCTGTAAAATGCCAGATTTCTCCACTTCCATCCTAGCAGAGGAAAAACAACATCCATAACCTACAAAATTGAAATGTGAGGTCCAAATTAATATGCATATTCTAGTGCCTATATATAGGCAGTCTCTATGGAGTTGTCTGTGTATCAAGTTCTGGGTTCCACTCTGTTGCAAACAGTGAAGAACAGAAATAATGACACAACTTGACATGTTCCCTTTTGAAATTCTGAATGGCATTAGCTATCTCAAGAAAATTTGCCAGAAATAGACTCTGTTTGCAAAGGAAGAGGAAATGGCGGCAAGGTTTAAAAGTTATGTGTTTCTTTAGTAATGCTCTCAATGGGTACGGTCAAGAGCAGTTGCTAAGATGAGGCCATTTTCAGGGAGAGGTTCTCTAAGGGCCCCCTTTAACTGGCTTGGTGCTTGCATAGGGTCAAGGTGGCTGTTGATATTTGTTTCACCCTTTGTGCTGGAAAAACTCCAGGGTCTTCCCCAAGACTGTTCCCTCATGATGTTCGTGTCCTGTGTCTTTGTAGACGAACTTGATTGACTTTCAGTGCCCAGAATGTCACAGTAGTAATGGAATACCATTTACAGAGTAGTTGTTTGCCAAAATTTGGAAGCAAAGATATTTTTCGACGCTGCGGCTCATGGAGACACCAGAATCATATCCTGTAATAGACACTGAGAGAACTGTCAAAGCCATGGTAAAACACAAAGCAAGCTTAAATGCATGCTAAGTGAAAGAAGCTCATCAGATAAGGATTTCAGATGACATGCCAGTTGGGAAAAGGCCGACTGTGGAGATGGCAATGAGATCAGCAGTTGCAGAGGAGTAGGAGGAAGGAATAGGCGTAGGTGATGGAATGACTTTGCTGATGTGATAGATGCATATCGTTACACATTTGCCAAAACCCAGAGATTAAACTCCAAGGGAAAGGGTGGACTTGATGTCTGAATATGGGTTCATTGACTGAGCAGATTTTCCACTCTGGTGGAGGATGTGTGTGTGTGTGTGTGTGTGTGTGTGTGTGTGTGTGTGTGTGTGGTAAGGGGGTGGGTATGGAGAATGCTCCTGCGGTTTTATACTCAATTCTACTGTGGTGCTTTTCCTTCAGAGAACTTTTTAAATCCTTGTGTGTGTATGTATGATGTGTGTTTCTCTGTGTGTGTGTATTCCTGTGAGGGAATGAAGGTGTGTGCATACCTCAGGGTGTATGCGGAGATTGGAGGACAACCTCGCAGTCTCAGCCGTTGATCTTTGCCTCTTACCTTGTTTGAAACAATGTCTTATTGTTCACCACGGCTTGTCTTATGCTAGTTGGCCTGAAAACTCCTGGGGACTCATCCGTCTCTGCCTTCAATCTCATCACAGGAGCCCTGGTGTTACAGGTTACAGGTGCCTGTTGCTGCTTCTGTTCTTTTGTGGGTCCAGGGGATGGAAACTGAGGTTTCACATGTGTACTGTAAGCACTTCACCACCTGGACCGTCTCCTTAGCCCAAGGATGTGTTTTAAAAAAATGTTCAGAAAAAAATACCAGTTCTTTCTGTCTTGAGTGTTTTCTCTTTCATTCATTTGGAGGAGAGCGAGTTTCTGGGCCGTGAAACTGTTCCTTTAGATAAGAACTGCTGTTTACTGCCAACAGCCTGTAAAGACCTGAGGTTTTTCTACAAACACAGGAGCAGGCTTAAGGTGGGTCCTCCTCTAACTCAACCTTGACACATGGGCATTTAAGCCATGTGTAGACAACTGTAGACACAGATATTATTGAATGTTTATGATTTTTAAGCTACCTGGGTTTGGGAACAATTTATTAAATATCAACAGGCAACTAATATACCTATCTGTTGAGCCAAATGGTCTGTGCAAATGTTGAAAGTTTTGTTTATTTATTATGCTGGGGATTGAACCCATGATGTTTACACATGCTAGGCAAGCGCTTCATCACTAAGTTCTTTTCTGTCAAAGTTAGGGATTCTCGTGCTGTGATGAAACACCATGACCAAAGCAACTTGGGGAGGAAAGAGTTTATTTCACTCACAGTTCCATATAACAGTTCATCACCAGAAGCAGTGAGAACCGGAACTGAAGCAGGGCAGGAAGTTGGAGGCAGGAGCTGATGTAGAGGCCATGAAGGATGCTGCTTACTGTCTTGCTCCCCATGGCTTGCTCAGCTGCTTTATTTCCCCTCTTTAAAAAAAAATAGAACCCAGGACTATCAGCTCATGGATGGCACCATACACAATGGGTTGGGCCCTCCATCATCAATCACTAATTAAGAAAATGTCCCACAGGCTTACATCCCAGTCTTATGGAGGCATTTTCTTAATTGAGGTTCCCTCCTTTTAGATGACTTCAGCCTGTGTCAAGTTGACAAAAACCTAGCCAACACTCTCCTCTAGTCCCAAGATTCTTTAAAACCTATAATTGGGCAAGAAGTACTAAATCCATAGTTTATACTATGAATTCTACTCACAAATAAGTATTAACTATAACCAGTTGCCTATGATGTAAAATTGTAATTATTGTGTTGTTCCATTGTAGACTCTTGACTCCTTTTCATGCAGAAAATTAACCTTTACTGAGAAATTAACTAAGAACTTCTTTTAGGAGGAGATTAAAGACTTTCTCAAGTATATATAAATAAGTAAAAAAGGAGGTGGGATTCAACCTAAGGTAGGTAAAATATATTTATCTCTCTTCCAGAATCTTTTCTCACGCTTTAATGATTCTGTATTCTTCATATTAAATAATCAGGCCTTGTCCATCTTCAAGGTTGGGTGGGTCATGCACTTGAGTTGTTACAATTATTTCAATGTTCTCATGTTATCTAACTATAAAAATCCCAGTGGTATTGTTGGTGGAAATGGTGATCTATTCCTGTTGATGAATTCAACTGTCAAATTTTGAAATCTTGCTAGGCCTTTCACAAGATAGTTTGGGCATCTTCTGGGTCCTGGCCTTCTACAAAATAGAGAATCAGAAGAAGACAGCATAAGGCCAAACAATATATAAGACAGAAATGGAAAGAGTAGGATACTTAGGAAAACACATGAGCAGTAGGATATTTTAGATATCTCAGTAACTAGACTACAAGAGTGAAGACACCAGTGAGGACATAGATGCTGGGGATAATATGAGCTACAGACTTGACGTAATGGCCATATGTAGACCCTAAACCCTAGACAATAACACACACATTCCTGTCAAATACATAGGGAATCCTTACTAACGCTGGCAAAATGATGGCTCAGAAAGCCAATCTGATACATTCCCAAAGATTGAAACCAGTGTTGTGTCTTCTTTGATAGGGATACATTAAGTTCAAAATCATCAGTAAGAAAGATTACTAGAAGATCCTCCCATTTGGTAGTTAATAAATCTGTAAATGACCAACACACATGAAGAAAGGTATGAGAGAACTGGGTATGGCAGTGGTGTGGTACTACAAACCCAGTGCGTGGGAGGCTCAGGCAGGGTGATTGTTTTGTTAAAAGCTTAACTTTTATAGACTGGTCAGCACCGAGTGCCATCCCTTGATCTTGTGCTTCGGATTAAAACTTGATGCAATATCCTCAAACTTCTAAAGTAAGATTAACTCAGGTGTAATTCTCTCATGAGTCTCACTTCTGCCAAAGGCACATTATTCACGCAACTGCATCAGCAGTTGCCTGCTCACGATATTAGAAAACACCAACAGATGTTATCGAAAGCGTATATGACATTGCCAGCCTAGCACAATCCAGACCTGTGTAGTGTCTGCCAGCAAAGTGATTTAAGACTATCTAGCAGAGTAGAAAAGAGCAAACTTCCTGTTTGGCTTCGTTGACTTTCTATTAGTCTACTGTTGTTAGCTGACCAGAGTTGGTGAACCTAAACTCTGTTGGGCAATATTTTAAAAAACAGATTAGTTATGCTTCTGTGTGTGCCTTCAGATGTCCTGCGTGAACCCAAGGCTCTCTTTCAGTTGTGATGAGCTACTGTTTCCACAGGGACTGGGCTACGAGGCCCAGTAAGGACATAAACTTTGCTACTCCAAAGGATGTGTAAGTTTCTTTTGTGCAAACAACTTCCTTTCTCCTCCTGCTCCTCTTCTTCTATAGGATGTCACTATGTACTTCAAATGGTCTCAAAATTCCTACGTAATCCAAACTTATGATCCTCCTGCCTCAACATCTCCAGTGCTGGGGTAATGGACTTGTGCGACCACACATGCTTCCTATAAAAATTTTGTTTCTGTAGCAGAATCTGTGCATATCATCTATTTATGAATAAGAAATAAGATAAAGGAAAAATTTAATCTCAGCACTTGGGAGGCAGATACAGGAGTTCAAGGTCATCCTCAGTTACACAGCAAATTTGAAGTCAGCCTGGGCTACAAAAGACCCTACTAGAGATAAGCAAACAAATGGAAGACAAACTAAATAAAAAACAAAACAAACCCCACAATATGTGGAAGGGTGTAGTGGTTCATGCCTTTAATCCCAACATTCAAGAAGCAGAGGCAAGAGGATCTTCAGAGTTTGAAGTCAGCCTGGTTTGCACAGCATATTCTAACCCAGCAAGAACCACATATTGAGACTTAACAACAAAACCAAACCAAACAAAGAATCCAACAACAACAACACCATTACAAAACACAAACCTAAACAAACAAATAACATGTGTTATGTTCATAGTTAAGAAGAAACCAGACCCAAACTTTGGCACAGTGCAGCTGTCTGTTGGTTATTGTGTCCCCTAGAGAATTTCTTATGCCCTTTTAAGGAAAAACATTTCCATTTCCACCCATGACTTGACCCAGACTTAAGCAGTATAATTCTATGACAGCTTATATTATCCCCAAATAGATCGATTTTCTTATTACCTCTGCTACTGAGGTCTACGTGTGAGCTCAGCTGGTAAAAGCTGCAGCCGGAATCCAGCTGCTTACTCAATGATGTTTTGATTTACTTCATATTTTGCTTCCAAGAAGGTAGTTCTCACGTGTTACCACAATTGGCAGCAATATATTTAAAGGTTCACTGTGTGTCTTTCTCTGTTTCACACACCTAGCTCTTCAGCTGAAGATGGGAAAAGTGTAGACCACAGGAAATACATCATATAGACAGAAAAAAAAATCATTAAGCTCACCCCACTGCCTTCTGGAGAGATGCAGGCAGAACACTGTATTTGTAGTAAATCTCAAACAACAACATGGCTTAAAGTTTGGAAGAACTCTTCACCCCAGCTAATGATTGAGTCTAGATATGCTTGTGAAAACAGTCTCAGGGGCGCCTTCTGCTGCCCTCTCCATCTGCACATCCTAGCTGGGATGTTCTGCGTTTCATGACCACTCACACACTTCCTTAGGGATGTCCCTTTTCTAGCCAGATTGTTAAATATAGGAATCCCTTGCTCTCTCTTGCATTCATCTCCACTCCCCCTCTTCCTCCCTCTCTATACTGAATAATTTTGGTTCATTTACTTCCATAGTATCAACTCTTTTTTTTTTTTGCATAAGACTTTTCTACTTTTAAAATTCCCACCCCTTCCCCTGGTTTCCAGCCTTAATTTTCCAAATTCTTTATGTTTTGCCCACAAAAATGTATTGTTTGTATCTTAAAATCTGCATGTCACCCCAAATTTATCAACTTTAACCCTGTTGCTCCTGCCTTTCTACCCATTGGCCTTGACAAAGCCTTTTCTACTTCAAGGATCTCTGTTCCTTCGTGATGTCTTCCATGATGCTGTGGCTGGAATTATATGCTCTTTTCTTTGTCTAATATGCTACTTACCTATCTCCCCCCCCCCCCCATGGATTTGGTAAGGATTTTGTTGTTGTTTTATTTTACTTTACTTTTCTTTTCTTTTTTTTTTTTTTTTTTTTTTTTTTTTTTGGTTTTTCGAGACAGGGTTTCTCTGTATTGTTTTGGAGGATGTCAGTCCAGCCTGGCCTCGAACTCACAGAGATCCACCTGCCTCTGCCTCCCGAGTGCTGGGATTAAAGGCGTGCGCTACCACCGCCCAGCCTTACTTTTCTTTTGGGACAGCATTTCTCTAGTATCTGGCATGGTGTGAATGGGCATGGGGAGGTCCCCACTGCCTTTAATGTGGTGTGATTATCTCATGGAAATATTCTGTTCTACTGGGTATTTCAACCTGTGCATTATTATGAAGATGGTTTCTTCCTAAACTGTACTGTTTAACTGAAGCGATGCTTTTATACAATAATAGTGTTAGTTTTAAATAGGATTTTGTTGATTGAAGGTCTTTGATAAATAGAGTGAGGAATTGTGATAGAGGTTAACTTAGTGGGAAAACTAATATAGGTAAAAACAAGATTTGGTGTTGCCTTCACCCCTGATAAAGCAGGGGCTGCAGAGGATAGAAAATAGGAACAAAGTCATGTCACACAGCTAGTTTCTCTTAAGAGGCCGTATAGACTGTGGCTTAGGTTAATGAGTCCCAGAAGCTATGTTAGTTCAAGTTCTTCTAATCTTAATTTTTGAGAGATGTGCTTGTAGATTTCGGTGTGCATCATAGCTAAAACAAAGCTTTAGATATGACTTGAGATTATGTTAAGATGTTTTTGTTAGTGGCTTTGAGTTGGAAAATCTTGGAAAACAATTTAGAATTTAGAAAGGCATAATTTTAGTAACTGAGAGAGGAACTCATTGATGTCAGGGAACAAGAACCATGACAGCCTATCTGTTGCTGGCTGACATACTTTTCTTGCTAGGTTGAGTTGGTGATCAAGGGGGATGATTAACTCCTTGTACCCATTTCTGTCCTCAGCTTCCTGATATTAAAACAAACAAACAAACAAAAAACAACTGTTGATGAGTGGGTATGTACCCTGAGGATCTAAAATAGAGCTGACTGAGTGTTTTTTCATGTATAAAAGTTTAGATTTGTGATCCCTTTAAGATATTTTTATAAGATTACCTTTTGAAATAAATAGTAAAGTGATTGGTTCTTTCTTTGTAATCACAAACTACAGCCTGCTGGTAAAAGAACTGGCTGAGAAAATACGTTGCTTGCTTACACTCTGTCAATCTAGAACAAGTTGCTTGGGTGTGAATGTATGTGGGTTCTTGGGGCAGCTTGCTTTTCATCTGTAACAGGCCAAGTGTTTAATTATATATGGGATGTGGAAAACATGTTGTTTTTATTACTTGTATTCATTGTGATCATTCACTTAAAATAGATTGCAACCACATTGTCATTTTTATACTGCTTAAAATATTTTGCTGGGGTACATACAGCTGTAAGGAAAAAAAGAGACATCAAGAAAGACAGAAGAGAAACATCAGGGTAGAAAAACAGGACCGAAAAGAATAAAGTAGAACAAGCAACAGAAAGAATAATAAAATAAGAACTAAGCTTTGGCCCTCAGAAAAGTGCTGGTGTCTGTCCAGTGGTTCTCCCGCTCTGCATGTCCTCTTCAGTTTCTCAGACCTGCTGAGGGCTCTACATTCATCAGCACCCTAGGTGAGATCCTGAGATGTCGGAAGAGTGTGTATGTGTGTGTTTCCCTTTCCACCAGCCCCGGAGAGTTAAGTTCAGCCACCTCGCTGGCCCCAGAGAAGTAAGTTTTACTCCCTCAGAAAAGTCAAGTTGAGTGATTAGTCTGTTGACTGTTGGATTCCCCTCAATCCCTGAGCTGCTAGAGGCTAGTCCTCACAGCAGGAGTATAGACCAGCTGTCCTTGAACTCCTAAAGATCAGCCTGCCTCTGCCTTTGAAAGGTTGGGATTAAAGGCATGTGCTGTCATGACTGGACCAATGTGTTTTTAATTAGCAGTATAAATCTTTTTTTCTTCTAGGACTGCAGGGCAAGGCAAGACAATTATATATACTTATGTGTAGAAATTTCCATACTTAAGTCACAAACCTCTCTTGTAGCTTGCTGAATCAGACACCTCCTTCTACTTTCATGATTATAGTTTCTAAATGTGTAATCATTCATATTCTAGATGTATTTACTTGTAGACTTACCTTGTTTGTCACCTGCTTTTACCTATTTCTGTTGGCCATGGTCCAGAACAAACTAGAAATAGCCAGAAGTGGGTTTAAGATTGATGTTAGCTAGTGGAATGCCCCTACACCCCCAGCCCTGCATTGGCTTATTTCTAACAGTTATGACCCAGAATGCAGCTCTTAACAAATTACCTTTGATTTGATTTTACATTTCAATTTCTGAAAGCAAGAATAATGTGGTTAGACTTTTCTTCAACAAACAAAAACCAAAAAAACAAAAAAAAAAACCAAAAAAACAAAATCTAGAGTGACAGGGTTATTGAATTAATCAAGGAAGATTACAAGACAAGGATCAAAACTGACATTCTGCAGTGACTACTTTGGAACCTGAGCTACCTCAAACACCAATACACATAATCAAGTATTCCTCCTTTGAGCTAGTTTGACTCCTCATTGTCTCCTCATTGTCGCTATTCCTGTAGAGGCTTCTTCAGAGAGGGTCAGGGCCTTAAAACCCACACCTTTACAAAGTTGTCACTGAGTTTATGCCAGTACCAGATTCCAGGATTCCCCACATCTAGGCTGAGTTTTACATTTTAACTTAAGCTGTTATTTAATAATAGTCTCTCACTTGGCTGTGTGTGTGTGTGGTCTTTAAGGGAAGCAGAAAACCAGCGGGGACAAATGTGCCTTTGGGGCAGAGGTGGCCTGGACCTGCTTGGTCGGAAGCTACTGGGTCGGAGAAAACGTCTCAAGGTTCAGAACTGGACGAGCCCTTGACTTCAGGTGTCTCCTCCCTGCTCCCCCTCCCCCGACTACTCTCTGTGGGTGCTGGGCATAATGCAGAGCCTGGAGCTGGGTAGGCAAGTGTCACGGCTCCGTACCCGGCCCTGCCCCCTCCTAACTTTCTCCTTTGGCTCTGCTTTTCTACTGTCCATAAAATAGTGTGTTCACCGTCTGAGCGAAAGAGGTTGGCTTTGCAGGCAGAGAAGGGCTTGAAAAAAGCAGCACAGCAAGCAAAGTGGATTGGTAATTTCAAAACTATTTTCCTCTAAGGAAAGTATTGGAGTCAGGGCAATGGACAAATAAGGACTTAATTTGCATCACGTCATTTTATCTGATTTAAACTGGAGAGAACCTCATTATCTTGGCAATAAAAATTGCCTGTTTGTAAAATTTGGCTGTTAGTTGGCTAATTTCTCAAAGGCTAAAATCTTAAAAAACAATGTTGAACCCAGGATCTCACTCATGCCTTCCACCACCAAGATGCATTCACCACTCACCTTTATCTTGAGTCCTGTATGCTCTCTGAGCTGGTCTTCTTGGGCTTCAGTGAACATGGGAATCCAAGGGTCAAAGGTAAGCAGATTTGGACAGATCGCTGCGAGAACAAAGTTCTGGCTAACCTTTGAGCTGCCAGTGAGTGATAGGACATGAGCTTGGGAATTGAAGGTGCGGGTTAGGGAGCTACTCCTCTTGCTCTGCAGGAAACCACTTTTCCAGATCTCAGAACGGCAGGAGGTGGCTAGGCTCCTACACCAGAATCTTGACTCCCTTTCCCCAAGCACAGCTCCATCAGGAGTGGCTCCTCCCATTATCGGCTTTGATGAATGGCCCGCCAGAACAGCTTGTCAAAGCAGAGTATGTCTTTCAGTTGCTGTTCCCTCACATCAGCGACCCTCAAAGACCTATTCACTCTGATCGACATGTGTCCCAAATTTTCCTCTTCAACATTTCCTCTCTGTCCTCTTTTGTCTCTTCTCAGATCTTTCATATGTTCTTGTCCACCTCCCCGAAAACCTCCTTAAAATTGGACAAAGTGACCTTTCCATAAGTCAGTGTATTCTAACCACCCTCTGCAGTAACCCTGCTCAGAAGCATTTTTGGCAGTAAACCAACGCATGCACTGAAATTTGATCTAACGAGCTTTGTTTAGTTTTGTGGCTCCATTCTCTTCCGGGCCCCACCTGGCCAGCATGCGGTCCCCCACCAGCCTGTTTAAGCAGTTCACTTCATTGGAAAGGCCTTTCTTGTTTCTTTTACTCTCTCATTCAAGGTGATTGTGAGTCACCATGCAGTTGCCGGGAATTGAACTCAGGACCTCTGGAAGTGTGGTCAGTGCTCTTAACCACTGAGCCATCTCTCCAGCCCTGGTGTTTGGGTTTTAAGTTCAGTTTTGTTAAAAAAAAAGGAACTAGAATGTTTAAATGGCCTTGTTTTAGCCTTCTGTTTGAACAGTCTAAGTCCCTTAAATATAGGTTCCTTGTTAAGATACATGGCCTGTGTTATTAAAGACCAACAAATCAAACCAAACCAAGCCAAACCAAACCAAACCAAACCAAACCAAACCAAACCAAACCAAGCCAAACCAACAACGACGACGACGACGACGACAACAACAAAAGAATTTCCAAGCCAATTCTCTTGGACTAATTTTCTAAGCGGAATCGTACTGGACTACATTTCCCATGAGGCTAAGCCAGGTCCACGCAGGCGCACTTGGAAACAGACGCCAGTTTCCCGAAACCCCGCATGTCACTTGCTGGTGTCCCGCCCCTCCATTCCCCGCCCGCTTTCGAGGTCTCGCCGAGCACACCTAAGGGCACTGCCAGTGTGTGCTTGGTGCAGGCTGGAGTCATGGCTTCACCGCTGAGGTTCGACGGGCGTGTGGTCCTAGTCACCGGCGCCGGGGGAGGTGAGCCTCGCGCCGGGCCCTCTGTCCCGGTGGCAGGGCTGCGGCGTGCAGCTGCGGGCTGCCGAGCTGCTGCTGGCACGGGAGGGAGGGACCGGGGTAGGACTGGCACACAGGGTC